TGCACAGCATGCAGTGTTTGAATGGTGACATTCAAAGAAGAGAACATGTGTGTGTGACTGTGTGTGTGTGTGTGTGTGTGTGTGTGTGTGTGTGTGTGTGTGTCATTTTGGGGGGAAATCTAAACAGTTTGAGGAGTTTATTGGCTTTGCGCCGGGTTTTTTACGCGCTCATAACGCGAGGGATGCTCTCCAACCGGGAGGTTTTTTTTTTTTTAGAGGAGTTGAGAGGCTGAATTGTGATGCCTAAACCTCGCGATGCCACGAGAGTTGGGAAGAAGGCTTTCGGGGCGAGCGCGCGCGTGTCGAGGCTGGAGAAGGTTTGGAGGAGCTGCCCCGGAAACCGTGGACGGGGGGGATGCGCTGCTGAACGGGGCTTTTTAAAAAAAATTTATTATGATTTTTTTTTAAAGATTTGTGACGCGAGGAATCATCCACGACACGATGGTCCTCACCGTGCTGACCCAGTTCAGTTTCAAGGTAGGAGGCACTGCGCAGGACCCCCGATGGCACGGAACGGTTGCTTTATCGTCTAACCTCTTCTTCCCCGGGTTAGATAGAGATGATAGATAAGATGTCACCGCGATATTTGAACGTGACCAGTCACTGTGTGTTTCTCCTGGTGTTGTTGTCCACTCTATCTGCCCCAAACACGCGTCCAGCTTTGCTTGTAAAGCCCTCAGTGCGCGTCTTTTTATCGGCAGCCGGATGTCTCCAAGGCGCTCTCTCTGAGCCAGACCCAACTCTCTGACGTATGCGTCCCCCCCCCTTTCGCCTCCACTACTTCGACTGCTCCTCCTCTCAGTCCACACAGGTTTTTTTTCTTCTCATGGCTAAGAGCATCCAGACACGGATGCTTAACGGGTAAACCCCGTTTCGGATTCGGGGTTAGCCACGACACGTCCGGTCACTTGATGATCATAGGTCCCTGTTGCTGGTTGCATGAGGCCGTGCCCCCCCCCCTCCCGGTGCAGCCACCTGTTTCCCTCTCTCATTAAGGCTACCGGAGCCCCCCCTCCGTGCGTGTGACATCACACTACCGCTGGCCCTTCGCTAAGACTGCGTCCACTGGCTTGTGATTCTTCTCCCTGAACCGGAAAACAAGAGGGGGGGGGGGGGGGGGGGGGGGGGGGGATGCGCGTGGGGTAGGTGGCGGCGAGGTCTCCATCTGCAGTTTCCACGACAACAGAAACTAAAGAGAAACGGGTCTGTGTACGGCGTCTATTGGGGGGGCCAGACCGACAGCATAAGCTCAGTTACCGGAGAAACAAAAACGAAAATAACACCAAGGATGCACCTTTCGGATAGTTTCAGTAAGATTAATGTCAGAAAAGAACAATCCTCCACCTCTAAAACTGCCGCTAAACCTATTTAGTCTCCTCTGGCTCTCTTAGATCCATTGCGTATTACTTGTATAACCTGATTTTTCCTAAGTGTTTACGCCTGGTGGCGAGGTTAAAGTAAACCAAAGCCCTTTCCCTGCTGTGAACAGCTTTAATCACGCTGGTCAACATCCTCTCTGCTCTCACATTGAAGCTGAGAAGGTGCGCGCTAAACGCCATGCATTTGCGCATCATTATAGCCCCAAAGCCCTGGAACTGAATAGTCCTGTGCGCGTCCACAGGTGCCCATCCTTCACTGCTCCACACAATGCTTTGATTGACTCCCGCGGTGGCCTAGATTCCCCTCAGCACAATACAGCCGGGCGGCCTTATCGGATCACAACCGGTTAATGGCGCATATTGAATTCTTCTGGTGGCGCAACTTGAGCTAAACGGCGAGTCGGTCAGTATCTGAGATGGGTTGCTGTGTGAGTAATCGAGCGAGTTGTTCTTTTCACAGTCAGTAACCAGAACCCCCCCCCCCACACACACACACACCCCCCTGCTTGGGAAGGAAGAAGAGCCTGGCACTGACATTTAGAGGCCCACCTCTTAATCTTGTTTTGTTTTTTTCTTTTCCCCGATCTGATTTGAAAGCAATATGCAACACGAGAGCGTCCCCCCCCCGAGCTCCGGCACGTGCCAGGGAGCTGTCAGGGTGCTGAAATCTGTAGGGGATGGTGCTTGTTCTGCGTTCTTCCATGCGTGGCCCTTACTCTGGCCTCTCCAAAAAGCCGCATCTGCACGCGGAGCATGGCATGCCTCCATCGCATGGAGAAAAAAAAAAAGATAAAAAGATCAGACTTCTGTCAATAAGACAGACAGGTCGAAAAAAGATGCTTCTTATCGCCACATTTGAATTGTGCTTACAAAATAGAACCGCAAACAAATGAGAGAGCTTTTTCCATGATTGAATTGTCCATCCCAGAAGGCTGCTTGAAGGAATAAATGTCAACAATATGCCTCATTTGTTTATTGTGCTGAGCCTAAAGACTTTTAGGAATTTGTACTGATTCCCCATGTGTGAAGGGTTGTTTTTCCTTGTGGGAAAAACCACTGGATTGGGTTTTGTCCCTGGCCCTGAGTGCTGCCAGGGGGGCGGGTTGGCATTATGACTGCATCTTTACACAACTCCATATTTATCAGGCCAAACCACATGGTGCAATACCATATCACTGGTCAATCTATCTTCCAAACTCCTATATCTTTTCTACATTGTAGTTATATTCTTATTCTTTGCTTATTTTTGCTTAATTTATTGTTTTTTATTTTTTACTTTGTATCTATATTCTTATTCTTTGCTTACTTTTGCTTAATTTAGGGGTTTTTATTTTTTACTTTGTATTTATATTCTTATTCTTTGCTTACTTTAGCTTAATTTAGGGTTTTTTATTTTTTACTTTGTATTTATATTCTTATTCCTTGCTTACTTTTTGCTTAATGTAGGGGTTTTTATTTTTTACTTTGTATTTATATTCTTATTTTTTTGGCTATTGTATTATATATTTTTTTATTTTATTTGCATTTTGCTCTCTTTTTGCCACTTTTTTGCCCTGTAAGCTGCTGGTAACTTTCATTTCCCCGAGGGATTCTTCCCAAGGGATCAATAAAGTCTTAGTCTAAGTCTAAGTCTTAGTCGAAACATAGCCCACAGTTCATTTAAGTCTCCTGTCCCTCTGGGCTGGCCTTCTCCAAGCTTTCAAAAGGGGCCCATTGCGAATGCAACCGCTCGATCATTTTCATCATCTCATTCGGGCTTTCATCCCTAGCTTCCTGGATAGAAAAGGGGGAGGACTTTTTGCGAGCAGTTGAGCAGCTGGACCTTCACGCGGCTCTCTTCCTCCCGACAGTGGCGGGCGACAGACCCTTGTGCGTGGAGTGGAGCAGGGCAGGCTCCGTATCCGACCTCACGCTTTACGGCAGCACACGGACCTTCTTGGCCCCCAGACTGATATTGACGGCACCTTTGGGGGCCCTGGACTTCAGTGAGGTGCCCTTATTTTTTTCCTGTTTCTTCCAAAAAAGAGTTTCAGCTTGGTCACTTTATCAACTAGTGTATTTTTTTTTTTTTTAAACTCCATGATGCCTCAATCATGCAGTTTTTTCCTTCATGAGTGTGTATGCTCAGATTACTGTTGGTGGTTGGCCAACTCTTAGTGTTTATTGGGCAGATGGATGTTGAGATTCAAATTAAGCCTGGTGGTTCAATAGATTTGAACTTTGCAATGAACTGGACTTAACACGTTTTTCCACAAACACACAGTTAGTTTGTCATCACAGAGATTTCTTTTGAACTAAGAGGGTCAGTGTGCACATTTAAGGGCGGACATTTGGGCTCTTAACTGTTGGAATAACAAGCCGATCAGCAGCCAAACAGGAGAAAGTCACGTTGTCTACAGAGCAAAAAGCTATACGGTTTTATAATGAAAGTTAAAAAGATAGAAACCATCATCGTTCAGGATCTCCACAGCTTTTCTACAAGGCATATCCTCAGGTTGATGCATTACATCTTGTCCTTGTAGATGTAGGATTAGAAACATGTACACATGTGAGGTTTTTCTGTTTGAGGGTCTTAGTTCTGGTGTTGTTCTGTGAGAAACACCACAACAGAACCACGTCACACTGGATGGTAAAATGTTTGTTTGGATTAAAGATTTAGAACAACCTGTTGGATTGAAGAAACTGATAGAAGTTGTGATGTTTGGAGTCCATAAAGGCCCCTTTGAGCCATGAAAGATGCTTTACAGTCACACAGGTCAAAGTGTCTGCAAAGAAACAACTGATTTCAGATTTTTGGGGGGATTTTTTTGTGTAAGCTCGGTAATCAGAAGTGAAATAACTCCAGGGATCAGAACCTTCTCTGCTTATCCACAGAAGTTAGTGATAGAATGTACCCTGATTCCCTTTAATACCTTTTCATAATGAATTTTATTGTCATCCAGTGAGATAATTAACTTGCAAACACAGTTTTAATAGTCAGAAAACTGTGTTTTTGCTTAAAGGATGATTTCAAGCATATAAAAATCCTTAAAAGTCCTTTTAGAAGACTTGCATCACATGATCTGAGACCAGAGGATTTATGTGTGAGTCAATAAATGAGGCAGTCAGTTATTTAACCCTCCAACCTTATCATTACCTTATTAATTAAAGAATCTGTGATGTTTATTTCAGCTCTGGGACTCTGGGAACCTTTTTTCATGTTTATTAATTCCAAGTAGTTGGGTTCCATACTTATTGATGTGCCACCCAATGTAATTAACCACACATTTTCCATGTGAGAACGTAAACAGAATCTCAGTGCATCCGGCAGGATTGAATGGAAAGATATTTTCAGGAGTTGGTGTAACTGACTTAAATCATCTGTAAAAACCTTCGTGATTATTTGAACGCACGTGTATCGGCCCGCTTCCCGAGACAAACCGCACATCACAGGGAAAGAGCTTCTAAAGACGAGGACGTCTTTTCGTTGCTTTTTTTCCTTTTTTTTTTCTTTGCCCGGGGCTGTTAAGAACATAAAAGGTTCCCGTTGTGCTGCATCTGCTAACCGGTGTGGGATGCAGGTAGACAGATGCTGAGATGGCACAGACGTGATAACGATGATGACTTTTTGGGGGTTTGGATGTGATGTGAGTTATGTGTGATGTAGCCTCTGAAGGATGAGTTTCAGACTCAGCCATATTTCCTCTCTTCAGGAAACACCCCCAAAGAAGCTAATTATCCAGTGTTTGGCAAATGTTTAAACAATACAGATGTCTCTTTTGACAGGAAAAGGCAGTGTTGAACTTCACAGAAGATTTGTTTGATGTTCTGAACATGTCACATCATCACCAGTTGGATAGAGGATTCCCTCCACTGAGTCCGGCTACATGCAGAAATGTGGTAAAGCTAACGGGCAGATAAAAGGAAAAAAGGAGGAGGGAAACAGAGAGAACTAAAGAGGTGCGCTGCTGTGGGTTGGCAGATATTAAACCAGTGTGATAGCACAGAGACATCTTACACAACTGACCAGAATAACAACTAAAAGAGTGTCAGACGCAAATTGTGAAACTTTCTTGTGAACGTTTTCTCATGGGTCATCAACCTGCTACAGGTTGAAAGGAGCAAATAAACTGATCCCTATCAGTCGACACTGTCATGTGTCAACTTTACATTTAAATTCCAAGAAGGGGGCAACATTAATTGAGTTTTCCCTGAAGACATAACCAATCGTTTCACACCTGACAGGATGTTGTCTTCAGGCCACTGTCTGGAGGCAGAGCATGCTCAGAAGTGGGTGGACAGCATTAAGTGGTTGATGTTTGCGTTTGAAGTTAAAGACAACACTAATTATCATGCTCTCTTACTTTGACACATCTTCAGACTCTCCTGCCTCTGATCTCTGAGCTGTTCTGAAGCACAAGAGGTGCTAAGACCACAAGCTTGGAGTCCCCCTTCATTACTATGAGGATTCTCGGGCTAATAATGCTGTTTGTTTATTAATCTGACTGCTATTTAGTTGTTGTTCAGACTGAGTTTACAGGTCATTGTCGGAGTTAAATCATTAGTTGCCTTTCCCAAGTTCCTGTGACTATCAATGAATGGAAGGAAACGTGTAAGATTCAACTACAATCCATAAACTTATCCTGGCAGTTTTGTTAAGTTGTTGTTACCTTTCAACCTTTTCCAATCAGGGGTTGCTACAACGCACAAGCTTTGACTCAAATTATATGTTTAGAGGGAGGTTTTAGGCTGGACGTCCTTTCTGAAGTTGCCCTGGCATTTATCCGAGGACAAAGAACACCCCTCCCCATTTGAGAGGTGGTTTAACCCCTTAGATAGAGAGGCTGAACCACTGACCCACTCATTGGCAGTGAACCACTCCCACCCCTGAGCCATGGGCCACCCCATAGCTGGTGGTTAAGTGATGAACATTTAAAAAATCACCGGTGTCAGACTCCGGTCCTCTCTGGGCCGCTGTCCTGCAGGTTTTAGAGACGTCCCTGTTTCAACACAACTCAAAAAGCCATCAGCAAAGCCCAACAATGTCCAGAGGAGGCCCGATTTAACCAGAAAGAAGTGTGCAGAAGCAGGAAAATGTCTAAAACCTGCGGGACGGTAGCTCAAAGAGGACTGGAGCTTGACACCAATGATCCATACGAAGGCAACCAAGACACAAACACCCGTCACAATCAGTACCAGTTCCTGTAACAAAACAAGCTCACAGACAGAGGAACCACCTCAGTCACTTGAACAAACCTTTGGTTGGGTAAACTGCATGCTGGCTAATAGTACAAACTCCTACATCTACAAGGAGCCCCAAAACTCACTGACTGAAAGTTTCAAACCTGCTTCGACAAGATCGTTTCAAACGGACCTAGCTAGCTACGAGAGCTACGAGCCTCTCCAGAAGTGTGTGTGTGTGTGTACACATACAGTAATTGTTGATGGCAGAATGCTTGTCAATTATTAAGATGCTGAGTGTAAAGAGAAAATCCATTTTTAAGGCCTTGAAGAATGTCGAAGTATTTGAAGTACTATGTACCCTCTCTGAACAAAAGTCCGTTCAGGGTTTTCCTGTGAATCATAGAGGGTCTAAACGGCTAACATTTCTACTTTTGATTCCTGTCGTTTCAGGTGAATGTTGATGACACTGTTGAAATGTTACCAAAATCCAGAAGAGCTCTCACCATTCAAGAGATTGCTGCGTTAGCGCGATCCTCCCTGCACGGTGAGCGAAACCTTTCGTAGCGAACTCCGCGTCGACGCATTTTATCAACCGACTGCAGCACCTTGTCCTACCTTTGCCCCTCAGGGATTTCCCAGGTGGTGAAGGACCATGTGACGAAGCCCACCGCCATGGCTCAGGGCAGAGTGGCCCATCTCATAGAGTGGAAGGGCTGGTGTAAGCCCATGGACACCTCGGTAGCCCTCGAGTCTGACTTCAACTCCTATTCGGACCTCTCTGAGGGGGAGCAGGAGGCCCGGTTTGCTGCAGGTAAGAAACCGCGTTTAGATTGGATTACCGAAATCTTGCAAAAAAAACAGCCTCCTCTAAAACGTTAGGCAGAGAGTCCTTTCACGGCTCTTTTGACAGGAAATACACTCAAGAGCACTCGTTCAGACAAAACCCTTTAAAATGTGAAAAGTCACACTACATGCATAAGAAAGGCATCCTTAATGAATGATAATCGACATTAGTACAATGTTTTTTTTTGTGATGGTTGAAATCTCTAAAGTCCCTTTCTCTCTCTTCTCCTTCCATACCGGCCTTTTGTGATGCTCACCATTGTTTTCTTACCGTCATTATATTTCTTTAAGAGCTGCTGGTTCTTTGCATACAGCTTTAGAGTAAAATAAAAATGAGGTTTTGCTTTCTTAGATAAGAAAAGTACAATATAATTATGGATCTGGCTTATTTTAAGCATCTTTTAACGTCCCTTTGTGGTATTTAGAGAGGCCAACTGTAAGACAAATCAAGATCCAGGTCAGATCCATTTGTCTCTCTACTCTGGCTGGAAGGTTTCCAACAGTCTTTATATCTTCACAACAGGTATTTGGCCACTTAGAACGATGAAATAAAAACAGTTTTCTGTTTCCAATGAGCATTTCTGACCTGCTGAAGTTAATCTCTCCTGTGTAAAGCACCAGTGAGTGTCCTCCTCAGCATGTTCAGGGTTTCAAAATGAAGGCATCTGAGTTTATTATCAGCTCTCTTTGTCTCTAAGGAAAGTTTTGCCCCTTCCTGTACAGAAACTAAAAGACACCAAAGTTTGCCTGGAGTCCGATAAATTTGAGCAGTGGGTGACCTATTGTTTCCAGCTGATGAATAATTCTATAACAGCATTTTGACTGTAGGTTTTACTTCTAAGATGACATTTTAAAATGAGTAGAAAACTTAGATTATTGAATGTTGGTCCAGTTGTGATAGGGAACATCAGTCTTATATCTAATGAAGCAGTGCCAACTGACCTTAAACCAATCATTGTAGTGTTATAAAGGTTTATTTAACTGACAGAACAACTCCAGAGTCCTTAAAGATGATAGACATCATAATCTACAACCTACATCTTTACATGTACGCAGTGTTGGGGAGTAACGGATTACATGTAACGACGTTACGTAATTTAATTACAAAAAAAGAGTAACTGTAATTCGTTACAGTTACAATGAGAAAATATGTAATTGAGTTACAGTTACTTCCGAAAATATTAACAATTACAAATTTAGTTACATTTTTTACAAAATATAGAGAAAAACCTTTGCAAAATATGCAACTCACTGATAGACGAAGCGTATTGATTTACTAATATTTGATTTATTAATAGTTGATGCATGACAAACGTTTATCGATGTCTATGACCTAGCCTAGCCTAGCCTAGCCTACCCAACTGTAGGGTGACCAGACGTCCTCTTTTTCCCGGACATGTCCTACATTTCAGACTAGGGTTGTGAAAAGTATCGATACTTAAAAAAGTATAGATGCTAAAATGTTGTATCCGGATACGACTGACCTGCCGTCGCTTCGATTTATTTATGTATTTATTTACGTTGTTTATGATCATTAAGACGTTAGCCTTGAACTGCTAGCTGCGGCCAATAGCTAATAATAACATGCTAAAATTAATCATGGTTTAATACTCATTAAAACCTTAAAGTAATCAAAAAGTAATCAAAAGTAATTAGTTACATTACTTTTTAAAAGTAATCAAAAAAGTTACACTACAATTACATTTTAAACAAGGTAACGTGTAACTGTAACGGATTACATTTTTAAAGTAACTTACCCAACACTGCATGTACGTAGCATACAGCCTTATCAAAAATGTGCTGACTCAGAAAATGTAAAAGCATGCCCAAAGATCCTCCACAAACTCACAATAAGCTTCAGCTGAGCGTTTCCTTCTCAAAGGCAAATCAAGAACAGTCCACATGGCTGCATGGCCTCCCTGAAGGTGAAGATATCTGGATAGAGATGTTTTATTTTGGCTTACTAACCTGAACTCTCCTTCTCCAAACACCTGATGGAGAGCATTGACCTGGCCTGTGGTTTTTCTGTTCTCCCCGTTCATCACCTCTGCCCCCAACACTGCCCCTTCCTCCAACCTTCTTCCGTTTATACCTCCTTTTTCTATATTCTATCTGTCTCTGCCCGCTGCTCTCCTTCCATTCACTCACTCGCTCGGTTCAGTCCCTGCAATGCAGACTCTCAAGGTTAATTTGCACAGTAAGGTTTTGCCCCCAGCTTGTTCCACCATGACTGAGCAATTTTCCTCTGTGCCTCCTCCATTCTGCTTTCTATTTCTCCCCTCTTTAATGCATCTCCTCTATGTTCCAGTCACACACTTGCCAACTTGAAGTACAGTATGTATCTAAACACCCACATCTCGAATTGGGCTATATTCCGATTTAACTGAGATATTTGTTTTCTATCGGCTCTTTAGATGGTTGAGGATATAGCAGTTTTAACTTTGCCACCACGTTTCTGTGCACAGGGATCTTGGCTGTGAAGGACTCAGTGGTTCATAGGCATGTGTGATAGAGATGAAACGGAGTAGCCTGTAAACTTATCGAGGAACACGTGTGGAATAAGTTGAACACAGCGTTTCGTACAAAAGCAAGCCAGATGGACCAGACGCACAAAAGGCGTGCGCACGCACACAAACACACTGCTGCCTCACAACAGTAAAGAGGAACCGGGCTCACACACCCACAATGTGTTATTCTAACATAGACCCGGGCCTCGTAACGTGCGTGTGACTGGGTGTTAATGGTTTTATCATGTAAATGCGCAGACCGAAATTCTGTCCCCATGGCAACAAAAGGGTTTTGTGTAGTCGAAAACACGCCTTATGTAGCATCTTTCAAGGTTAGCTGACCAATCAACTTGCTTTTACACTACAAGAGTCCATAGTCTAAATTATTTTCTTTTTTAATTAGACCACACAGTGGTCCACAGTTATCCTCTATCACACACAAACACACAAACACACACACACAACCACACACATGAATGTATGCTCTTCCCCCTGAACTGTTGAACGTGGATTCTCGGTTGTCTCCATACAGATTCCCATTGGTCGGTATGAACTATGAGGATGTACCAGTTATGTATCTTGTTTTTCATGCTACTCCCTGAACTGCATAGTAAGTGTCACTCTTGATTATAAATGAACGGCCTACTGCATCACTGCAGATTCTCTCATTTCATACGCATTCTATTAGCTTAAAAATCTCTGTGAGTGAGGTGTCATTGGATGACTCTGTTTCTGAGGGCGGCAGTATGTCCAAAGTACAAAAAAACATTATGAGAGAGCCAAAAAAAAAAAAAATATCTTTGGAACCCTGTGCATGATATCCATCTTTTCTCCTCAATGTTTATCAGACCCAAACACCATTTAAACTATTTTCCACTACCTATTTATTTATTATTTAATCTTATTTTTATAATCTTTTTATTTTTCTATTTTTATTTCTATTTATTAACTTTTTTCCTTGCGTATTCTGGGTCCTCCCGCAGTCCAAAAACATGCATGTTTGGTCAACTAGAGACTGGAAATTGCCCAAGGGAGTGGGTGAGTGTGTGCATAGTTGTCTTGGTCATTGTTCATTCGCACCCTGACCCTAACGTCGACCACCCCCCCAACCACTGCGATCATACAGCGGAATAAGGGCATTCATAATGGCACATCTGGACAGCCAAACAACACAACAATAACACAGTGGAAGGCAGGAAAACACCACAAAAGTAGTTGCAGATAAAGGCTGGATGTTACACGTTATTTACATGTTATGTACATGTTATGTACATGTTTAAGAGTCTCTGCAAATGGAAAAATGGAAACAGTTGGCACTGACGGAGTCCCATCTCCTCTCCCGAGCTGCAGCGATGCTGTGTCACACACACACAGCCGAACAAAGACGCGTGCGCGTGTGAAACCGTCGTATGCAGTATGTAGGTCAGGGCCATTACAAAGCATGCTTTTCAGCAGGTAAATGCTCTTTTTTTTCTTCCTCTGTTGAGAGAATTAGAAAGACTTTAAGAGCAGAAATGGAAACGGATTCTGAGAGGAGATGTGCCAGGGCCCCGTTACGGGGAGGGGAGAAGAATGAGAGCATTAATCTCTTCCTCTGTGGGAGACAACACATGAATACTGATCGCTGACCACAGAGAGAGCCAGAAACAGACAGAAGCAGAAGGAAACTGAGGAGGGAAGAAAAATGAAAGGGCAAGAGCTTTAACCCTTTCATGGATGTATTATGATCATATGTGTTTATTCAACTATTTTTCCACATGTCTACTTGATTATACAGCATAGGCTTTAAAACCTCTTTCTAATGAAATACTGTTCACATTACAATGTGAACATATTTTGACATTTGTAAACAGAATGCATGCAACTCTCCTCCTTTTCTAATATTCAATATTATCTTATTTATTTTCTCACTCCTGCTTATTCAACCCGTTGATTTATTTGAGTCTATCTCAGCTCCTCTTCAACCTATATTGTTGTAGATAATTTGTATTTTTATTGCAT